TGTACAGCAGTTCTCAGAAACTGTGGTTATACAACTAAATATTAATTGATTCAAAGGAAAGCAAAATCTTCAAACATTTTTCAGTTTGAATTTGTAAAGAATACAAACACTGCTATTTTTTTGAACAGTCTAATCCAGCAATGGGCAAACTACGGCCCGGCGGACCTTTTAATCCGGCCCGCGGAGCGTGATACTGTCAGGATGATCTGTCCCCCTCGACGTATCTGCGCATGTGCCGGAGATCGCCGATCGGCTGCTAATCCCTGAAACTGGCACATGCGCAGATACGTCGAGGGGGACAGATCCTCATAGGAGACAGATTTTCATGCTACACCGGAACGGCGCGGGAACACGGCGAGAGGAACGCGCGGAGCAAAGGTAAGTGAATTGACACAGGGGGGCTTGGGGACTTAATATGGGGGATGAATTAATATGGGGAATGAATTACTATGGGGGGGGGATGAATTACTATGGGGGGGGATGAATTACTATATGGGGGATTAATTACTATGCTTACTATGGGGGAATATTACTATACTTACTATGGATGACACATACACATCATTCATCTACTCTTGGTCCGGCCCCCGGGTCCAATATATGAACCCATTGCGGCCCTCAAGTCAAAAAGTTTGCCCACCCCTGGTCTAATCACTTTTCAAATTCAGGAACAACACAAATTTGATCTATTTTTCTTCATATTTTGAATAGAATGTGTAGTGTTCCCAATGCATTTGTGTGTATGGAAATAAAAGCTATTAGAAGGATTTTGAGCTTTATTCACTTTCTTCAACACACTATTATTTTGAACACAACTGAATGTGCCCTAGACTGTGCCATGCTGTACCCTATACTAATAGTCCACTAGTGTATGGTAGGAACTGAAGCAGTCCTTGAGGCAGAAACCAGGTTGGCCAGGACAGGAGGGACAAAAAAAGCGGGTGTCATGCCTAATTCCGTGTCTACTACAGACTCATCTTTTTTGGGGTGACTTTTTGGGTTGGGGTACCAGGAATGGCATCAGGAAAATGCCTCTCATGCAGCCAGCTCACTGCTTCTGGGTGGGGGTTTGGGCCACAGCACCTTCTGGATACAAAAGGGCTGTGATGATCTCTTCCTGGAATTTTAGGAAGGATCCACTTCATCGAGTTGCTTTGTGAAGCAAAAAAGAGTTGTACAGAGCAAATTTAAATAAATATACAGACAATTTTTTGTGAAGCTAAATATGGCTTTATCATCTGGTCGTTGAAGTCCAGCCTTCCCATGTTAAGGTTATAGACGTGGACACAGAGAGGCTTCTCAACAACACCAGCTGCCGTGGAAATGGTCGTATCTGCGTGAACAGGACGAAAACATCCCGCTTGTCCTTCCATTTCACTGCGAGAAATTCATCATTTTTCAAGCAGGCCTTGTATAAGTGGTACCCCATATGGAAAAAGGGTGACACCAAGCCACAGCTTCCCATGTAGTCTGGGCATCCGGGGGGCTCCACGTGACTATCTTTTCCCTTGTAAATCTGAAAATTAGAAACTACTAGAAAAAGACTAGTTGCGGACTCACCTGGAGTAGGGAATTTGTAAATGCTCAAGGATAATGATTCAAACAAAGGAGAAGGTGATCAATGGCCCATGAAAACTTTTGTTAACCCAGACAAAATTAAAAGTATAAAACAAAACACAAAAAATTGTACCAAACTCCACAGGTCAAGAAACCAGAAGTATGAACATATAGCTCACTGTGTAGCAGTGGGACTGTGGTGGGCATTCTGACACTGGGTGAGAACTGACTACCTGCCGCTGACATCCCCAGTGACACTAATACATTGATCAGTGCTAATAAAACTAGTACACTGACACTGTACTAATGACACTGGGCAGGAAGGGGTTAACTTTTGGGTGCTGAAAGGGTTAACTGTGTGCTGTATGTGTTTTACCTTGGAGACATGCTGTGCAGAGAAATACAAAGCAGCATGTCCTTGTTGGCAGGAGAGAGACCTATTTTATTTACACACAGGTCTCTCCCCTGTCAGTTTTGCATGGCAATCGTTGGGTGCCGGTGGGGAATCTCTGGACGGGACCCGGTGATTGACATGCTTAGCCGCCAATGTCCGCACAGGACATTTTTATCAGTTTCCTCCTCTTTTATCTCTTCCATTAGATGATTTTCTAAACGCCTCCCATTTTTCCCAAAATCTCATCATTTTATCCTCTAGCATATGGCGGAGTTCTTCCACCTTATACACGTAATCTACTCTGCTTATCCAGTCTTTCACTTTCGGTACTTCTTGTTCTTGAAAAAGTTTAGGTATAAGTCTCTTTGCCGCATTTATCATATGAAATATCAGCATATGTTTATATTTTTCTACCGTGTTCTCTGTTTTGTGAAATAGACATGTGCCTGGATCTTTTGGGACACTAACTTCTTTAATCTCCTGTATTTGGTATACTGCATCTGCAGTAAGAATTTTATAAATTCGAGAAGTACCCTGTTTTTTTGTATCCCTCTTCTACTGAACAATTGTTCAAATGGATTAAAATCTGCCACCATCCTAAGGGGTTTATGGAGCGTTACTAAAAAGTGTCTTAATTGAAGATATCACATTCATCTAAACTAAAGAATAACTCCTTATTTCTTAGCTCCTGAAAGGAGCAGATTTCATCCCCCTTCAATATATCTTTTAATTGTACGTTTCTTTTTTTTTTTTGTCCATTTACCTGAAATAGTTTCTTTCCCTGGTGGGAAGGAATCTGAGGCTGCCAATGGCATCAATGTAGAGTTATACTCCCACCCCTTTTTGTTTGTGTATTATTATATCCCATACCCTAATTACATTCCATGCATATGTGCTCATACTCTGTGCCAACTTACTGTGCTTGGGCGGTAACCATACCATCTTATCCAACTGTGTCTTATTGTGTTTTCTATATCCACCCAAATTTTCTTTTATTGCATTATGTGTCCAATCAAAAATACATGCCAATATTACTGAGTAATCGTATCTCCTAAAATCTGGTGCATTTAATCCCCCACTCTCCTTATCTCTACACAATACTTCATAGTTTATTCTCAACCTTTTGTTCTCCAGATAAACCTCAATATCAATTTTTTAACTATCTTAAAATAGGTTCCCAGACGTTGTATAGGTAACATATGAAATTTGTAGAGCATTTTCGGGAAAATAACCATTTTTACCAAATTTATTCGTCCTATCCAAGATATGGGTTCTACCGCTAATCTCCTTAGTTCCTCCTTAATTTCATTTTTTTAAATGAGACATAATTTATTGTATATAAATTTTTTTATGGAGGGGGTCAATTTTATTCCCAAATACTTTAATTCTCTTTCCCTCCCATGAAAAGGGAATTCTCTGTGTAGGGCATTATTTTCGACATTTAAAATCTCTGATTTAACCATATTAATTTTTAAATTTGATAGCTCTCCATAGTATTTCATAATGTTCATCAAATTAAGAGAATGTCAACCTAGGATTAACCACATAAAATAGCATGTCATCAGCATATGTTGCTACATTATGTTCAGTCTCTCCTATCCGAATTCCTCACACGTCTATACTCTTCTTTATCATTGCTAAGAGGGGTTCCAAAGACAGAACAAACAGCAACGGCGAAAGCGGGCAACCTTGTCTTGTCCCATTATACAGCCTGAAAAACACCAATATTGAGCCATTGACTTTTACTGTTGCTGAGGGACGACTATATAGCTTTCCTATCCACTCTCTCATTTTAGGGCCAATTCCCAGCACTTCCAACGTTCCTAATTACTCCCAATCTACTCCGTCAAAAGCTTTCTCTGCATCTACTGATATCGTCAGGACAGGGATTTTTCTTTATTACTTTTTTGAATGAGGAGTAGTGATCTCAATCCCTCCCTCCAGAGCACAAACCCCACCTGATCCAGGTGGATTCAGTCTGACATTAGGTCTTTCAACCTGTTTTCCAGTACCTCTGCGTATAATTTGGTATCTGTATTTAACAGAGAAATGCCTACAGCCACACCACCCTGAATGGGCCCGATCTCGTCCGACCCATTTTTATATCAGACTTGAAAGGAATATTACGTTATATCATTCTTTGCTACAAATTAACTTATGAGGTAGGCTATAAACCTCAACACTTTGAGAACATTTGGGACCTTTGTCCAAATCTCCTAACACTTCTGTTTCAAAACCTGGTGAACTGGAATCTGTATAAAATGTGTGATGCAATTCAATGTTTTGTGATGGCTTTATGTTTGGGTGCTGTACCAAGGAACAAAAGCCTTTTTTTGTATTTAGCAAGGAAGAACTGCTTTTAACACAAAAAAGCTTACTTTTTATTGAATTAATACCTGTTGCAATTGATGTTTATTTGCCTAGAGTTTAGTTTCTTTGATAGTATACATCTGTAATTCTACTCACAGTAGACATAATACAATAAAAGATTCCTGTTTGATTTACTTGACTTTCTTCCTCTCCCCACTGTCCACCTGTTCTTTTGTCTTAACTGTTTATGCCCACAATCTACTGATTTTCAAATAAAAAGTCCAGCTCGCCTCAAGTTTGTGTTTTAATTGTTAAATGAACAAGTACCATATTATAGCTGTATCAGGTGTGTAATCAGTCTCAGACATTTACAATTTGTGTAAAATAGTAAGGTCCCTTTTCCTCTTAGTGCCTGGTCATACCGGTACAATTTGGGAATTGAAATCGCATCTAATGAATGTGAATATCCATTTCTTAATATTTTGTAATTAGCTGTAGCGCGATTTCTAAAGTAGTTCTCGCATTACTTTTTTTGCAGTTTTGTTGCGATTTCACATACATAGAATGTAATGTAAACGGCACTGCAATTTGCAAGAAATCGTTGAAAATCTTTATAAGTATCTTTCTGAAGTTGTGCTGAAATTGCACACAAATTGCAATTTTAAATCGCAGCAGTGTGACTGGTGACTTAAAGTACATTGTGATATGTATAGTGATAGATGTTGTTGATTTCTCACAGTTGGAGAACGCACAGCTTGCAGCTGCCAAGAACAGTGATTATGCCAGTGCAACCAGGGAAGAGATCATGTCTACGAAAATCTCAGAATAGATACTTTGGCCTCACAGCTAAACCAGTGTCAAAAACAGGTACTGATTTCTCTTTCCTAAATAGAAATGTATTCATTGTACTTGGGGTTTTTTTTTTGTATGTGTTAGTATAGTGGGCACTTGCCAACCGCTCACAATACATTTTACTACAGGCGGGGGCGGCACATACAGGCAAAGTGACTTGCCTGTACCAACTCGGAGCATGCAGCACTGACCACTGTGTCCACCAGACACAGCAGAATGCGAATCCCAGTACTCGGGACCTGCTGATCATGTTATCGCTGTACAATCACATGATCACAATGTCAACAAAGCTGTTAATCAATATGATTCTTAATATCTTTGTTTCCTTTACTAGTCCGCTGCTATCACATGGTATCTGGGCCAATCACAGCACCCTGTACCATGTGATTAGCTATACCCAATCACAAATCACTAGTATTCACAGCTGTCATGAGCTTAACCCACTCATGACAGTTCAAAGCATTGCTGGTAGAATGATCTTTGTTGTGCCAGCAATTAAAGTGTAAAAAAAAGTAAACACAGAAATTGCAGCATGTGAGAGATTTCGAAACTCACTGCAGCCCTTACTAGATAAAAAAAATATATATATATATATGTGAATGAGAACAAGAGCATTTCTTTCTTTCCTGTTCTGCTGTGTCTGCCAGTCAATCACTGATCAATAGCGTAATGCTAGCCCAGCTCGTGTGCTGCATAGATGAGAACAAAGGATGTCCAATCGGCTGCAGCCCAAACAATCCACTTTATTGAGCCAAGATAAATCCAATAGAGACAGTGGGGGGACTGGCATGTAAATGCGTTTCACGCTAAAGACAGCACTTATTCATTACCCCTAAGGAATAAGCGCTGTCTTTGGCATGAAACGCGTTTACCTGCCAGTCCCCCACTGTATTTCCACTGTCTGTATTGGTTTTATCTTGGTTCAATAAAGTGGATTGTTTGCAGTGCAGCCGATCGGACGTCCTTTGTTCTCATAAGTAACTGTTATTATTTGCTAACGGAATAAAACTTTTGGTAGAACTCTGCACTAGAAAACAAAGTGAGAGAGCTTCAAGAGATGCTGGACCACACACACGATTTGCATCGGAGACAGATGTCTGAGAAAGACCGAGAAGTGGCTGAGATGAGGCACAAACTGCAAGAACAGTTGGAGGAATATGAGCAATTGCTGGATGTGAAGCTTGCATTAGACATGGAAATAAATGCCTACAGAAAAATGCTGGAAGGAGAAGAACAAAGGTGAGGAGATATACAGTACATATGTGTAACTTTTTGTGAGGACTATTATAAAGTAGGCAATGGTTTAGAGAGTGCAGTGTGTGCCAAGGTTTTAACTTTAAAGTTGAACGCCGGGTATGATCTTTATTGCATACTTACATTTGGTCCAATTTTTTATTTTTTTTCTCAGGGGTTGTAAACTCTGGCAAATTTTAATAATAAAAAGCCTTCCAAGGCATAATATGTTAGTATACATTGCATACTAGCACTTATGAAAAACTTGCATACTAGCACATATGACAGACTTGCCTTTTTAAAATTAAGCCCTCCAGTGGCACGCTGTCACCACTGACAGAGCTTCCATCTTTACCCGGTTTTCTATCGGGGTTCGCGGGATCCGGTCTTTCGAATGGCCGAGCTGCAATGACTTCACTCTTGCACATCTGCACTGAAGTCATAGGTACGGCACAGAGCTCTGAAGGGACGGTATGAGTATGCCATCCCTTCAGAGTGCATGTGCCCGTGACCTCACCTGCTGCAGCAACAGTGAAACTTTCCTAAGCGGTGCACATTTAGGATAGATTTACTGTATTTACAGGTAGGCTGTATTATAGGCTTAGCTGTAGGTACAATTGAAGAAAAATTTAGTTTACTACCACTTTTTTTAATGCAAGGTGTTCTTGTGTGGCAACTAATAGGGAGACAGTTCTGCAGAATGACAATCCTGTTTTTTTTTTCCTGTTATTTTTTTTTTTTACTTTGATAAAGAGGGTATACATACCCTGAAAATTGTTTTGTACTATATGGTACTTTTAGTAAATTGGTGTTCTGGTAGTTAAAGTGGTTGTAAAGCTTTCTTGTTTTAATAAAAAAAAAAAAACTTGTTTACCTGTACTGTGCAATAGTTTTTGCACAGAGAAACACTAATCCTCCTCTTTTTGGGTCCCTGTCCCTTCCCTCCTGCCGTACGTGCTCGCTCCCAAGCCAGCTCTGTATCTCCATAAGACATGCAGAGCGCAGTTTTGCCCCGCCCTCTGTTCCCATTGTGTCTCAGCCAGTGAGGAGAGAGAGACCCGGAAGAGCTGAGGCTCTCATGCACAGTGCTGGATTGTTATCAGGCTCAGGTTAGTATTAGAGGGGCTGAGGGGAGAGCTGCCCACTGAAGGTTTTTTAACTTCATTGAATGTATGAAGGTAAAAAAGCCTGCAGCCATTATAACAAGTTTAACCTTTCTACATTGGTGTGGAAATTTTTAAAAAAAAAAACTGCTTGTCCAGGGACTAAATCAGGGCCCCAATCTACTTGTCACTCATGACAATCTACTTGTCTTGATGAGAAAAAAACAAAACTTATTTAAATCCTGCTTTAAGTAATGTCTGGGGCTTTTAAAAACAAAAGGGGCACTGTACCCGGGGACTAGCAGGGAGGGGAGAGACCTTGCAGTGTAATCAGCACTGATTGGCTGCTTGTCAGGAAAGGGGGAGTGTCAGGCTGATCATTTATCCCTTTAACTGCCTGAGCAGTTTTTGCATTTTTTGCACAAGTTTTTAAAAAATCATTTAAGGCCTGAAGATTACACAACTCCAAAACATGATATTTTTTGAAATCGGAGACCCTAGAGAATAAAATAGCGATAGTTCCAATTTTTTATGTCCCTTGATATCACAAAGGTCTAGGAAACACAACATTTCAGTAAACAATACACTTAAGTTAATTTTAGGGTCCAAAAAGCAATAAATTATCCTTTTTTTTTTTTTTTTTTTTTTTTTTGTAAAATATAAGATAAGGTTGCATTGAGTAAATAGATATCCAACATGTTGACTCTTAAATTTGCGCGTGCTCGTGAAATGGTAACAAATTTTAGTAACTGTATATTTTCTATAGGTGATGCTTTTAAAAAGCCCCTTTTATAGGTCATCAGTTTAGTGTTACAGAGGAAGTCTGGTGTTAGAATTATTGCTCTCATTCTGTCATGTCGTGGCAATATGAAACGTGTATCGCAATAGTTTTTTTTTTTTTTTTTTTTTCTATCACATAGGGGACAAAAAGGACCCTATGTGATGATTTTTAGTGACAGGTTCTCTTTTTTGAGACATCCAGGGTCTAAAAGACATTGCATGTCTCCCCTGTGCTTCGCTGAATGTAATGCAGTGCACATCGCAGGAAGCTGGCACCATAGTGGTCTGCGTGGAAGCAATCGGATGCAGTGCTGCCGCCTGAATGCTTCCACCTGACAGGTGAGCCCTGCTACTACATGTCCCGGGTGTCGGGCGATATGAACTGCACATCCCTGCTGCTAACACCTCCTCCCTATGGTCCTCAGGAACCTTGTCTGTTTTTGTGTTGGATCTTTCCTGCCTTTTAGGTTTTAATGACCATTGTCAATGGGATGGGAACCTGGAATTCTGCTGTTCCTACTGGAACAGGAGTTAGTCTTCCAATGGGGACAAACAATCCAGGTATAGCTGTCCTAGAGGAAATAAACTATTTAAGTTTTTTTTGTCCTAAAATCTAGGCTGAATCTATCTCCAAGCCCTGCACAGAGGAGTACAGTCTCTCGAACCAGCTCAAGACACACAAGCCGTTTAGTACGAGGGAAAAAGAGGAAATTGGATGAAAGTGAAAGAACATCGAGCAGACCTGGGTATAAGATCATTCAGAATGCCAACGTTTCAGGACCCATATCTATAGAAGCTGTAGACCCTGACGGGATGTATGTGAGACTTTTGAACAATTCGGATCAGGTACTTTTCACATTTCATTTGGCAGTCTAGATAATTCTGTTTTCATTAACAAAGATGTCACAAAGTGAGCCAATTCTGTAAAAGAGCAATAGCATGTCTCACTGTGTTACGAGTTGTTGGTACTCATCTGCGGTCAGGTTTGTGTCACAGCTGCCATGCTGCAGTTTAAAACTGGTCATACACGGGTCGTATTTAGGTTGGGACATCAGGAAATTTGCTTTGTGGGCGGCCCTGTTGGTCACACCCCCCTTTTTGACTTTCCACGATTGAAAAATTGGAGGAGTCTGGTGGTAAATTGGCAGGTGAACAATGGCTGCATCCAGTCAGATGCAGCCACTGTTTTGGTATTCTGGCAGCTGCCATCCGTCAGCATATAATAGCATAGCTATTCCAGCTATATAGCATAGATGGAGAAATGTTACTTTTTTTCTAGTTAACTTGAAGGTTGACCTTTTAAATATAATGGGGCAGGCCAGCTCAACTTTACAAAAAGTACTTCTAAGGGTTCATGTACACTGCAGCTGATAAACTGACGTTCAGGAGCTTTTCTGGGGGGGGTTTCAGCAGCCCCTGAACTCTCCCTAATGTTTTCCTATGTGTCCATGTACACACGTCTACAGGAAGTTAAGTTTAGTCGTGTTTGTGTGTTTTTGTTTTTTTTTTTGTTTTGTTTTTTTACGCACCAAACTTGCGTTCAGGAGTAGATTTTATCAGTGTTTCAAACGCTTGTAAACGCAGCTAACTGCGTTTATAAGCGTTTGCGTTTATAAGCGTTTTTTAACTGTTCCATATCCAGATGCTGTCCAGAGCCTTTTTTTCATCATCAGAAATGCACGCAAAGCAGTTTCCATGTATTCAAATGGACCCGGTACACCAGCGCAGTCAGTTCCAGTCAGTTCGCAGTCAGTTCCAGGTTTCGCGTGAAGGAAAAATGGTAGAACGTGCCACATTATGCTCATGATGGGATCCATAGTGAATACAAGCAGATAAGACAGGTGCTCTCTCTGCTTCTGCTCTCTCTGTCTCTCAGTGTCTGAAATAGTTAATTTTTTACTGTTTTTCAGTGCATTCTGGGCATTTTGGAAGGTCTGCTGATGTTATCTTTAAAAAATGCTTCTAAACGTAAATGCGCATAAACACGGTATGCAAATGCGGCTAAACAGACGTGTTTTTTAACCTACATTTTCCAGCAGTCAATTTCCATCGTTCAGAAGTGTTTTCCAAATGTCCTGTGTACATGGAGCCTTAAATGCATTGTGTATTCTGCAGTGCTGCAAAAGGTTTTTTTTTTTTTTTTTTTTATCTTTTCACTGCTGCACTTAGGGAATAGGTCACATAATCATGTTTGCCATATTGCTTTTTTGTGAATTTGTTTTTATTTTGGTGCTGCACCATTGATTAGTGTGTAGTCATACAGGAAGGAAAGACCGTATTACAAAAGAATCTATGAAAACATAAGTACTTGGATAGAGCACTTTCTGTCTTGGGTTTAGGGAGATCTTTGTAGACATAGTGGAACACCGATCACTGTACAGGACCTCTGTGTGAGGTCCTTCCTGATCATATGATCACTGATTGGCCAATCAGTGATCACATGAATAGTAGTAAGCAAGATGTCACTTTGACATCATTGCTTACTACTAGTGAAATCTGTGAATAATCACAGCTCTCACAGTATTTCTCAATGGCTGCAGGAATGCAGCCAGAGAGAAGGAGAAATGACTGCTTTTACAGCCTTTATGGGTGTAAAAGCAATCGGTGTAAAAAAAAAAAAAAAAAATCTTCATTACTCTCCACAAGTAGTAAAGTGTCTCTATGGTGACACTGTACTGCTAGGGTGATGGTATGTTAAAAAAAAAAAACAAATAGTATAAAAAACATTTTTAAAAAAAATTGTGAAAAATTTATAATTTTTGGTTATAAACTAATTTGGGTATTTTTGTGTTTTTTTGTTTTTGGGTTTTTTTTTTTTTTTTTTTACTAAAAAGATAACCGAATAAATTTTGGCCAAGATTTATGAAAGATTATTTGCAAAATGTTATAAGAAAAACATTTTTTTTTTTCAAAACTTTTTTGCCTTTCATTTATATAGCAAAAATAAAAATCCCAGTGGTGAATAAATACCACCAAAAAAAAGTTTTCTGTCTCAAAAAAATGCATATGGGTACAGTGTTGCATGACCGCGCAATTGGCATTCAAAGTGTGCTAGCACTGAAAGCCGAAAATTGGCCTGTTCAGGAAGGGGGTGAAAGTGTCCGAACTTGAAGTGGTTAATCTGCATTTTGGCTAGAAAATGACTTGGAATTCTCCAAAAAATATTTCTGAAAGCAGAGGTCCTGTAGAATAAAGTGGTGACATTTGCATTTTTTTTTATGATGCACGTATGCGCAGCGGTTTATCAAAAATGCATATTTTTCAGGGGGAAAAAAACCAACATACAAATAAAATGAATGACGTATAATCTATGATACAAGCTCGATTTTCTCCAAAGAGGTTCTTGTCATATAATATCAATGAGCAGTTTCTCCCTAGTATAGTACACGAGCAGTTCGCTTTTGCTTACAAAATAGTCAAGACAAAAATAATGAAAGGTTTATATAGAGCTTAACAATAAAAATAATCAATAGAGAAGTATAACTAAATCAAAGCCTTTCAGGTGTATATTGGTAAAACCAATAATATCAATGGACACAAGAGGGCGCCCAAACACTGCAGTTTAAGATGACAAGGAACAGAGATGATGTAATCTCAAAAGTTAAAAAAAAAAAAAAAAAGTCTGTAAAACCAACAAAAAAATTTGTCCCAAATAAAAGGAAACCTCCAGGTCAAACTCACTCTGACATGCTGCTAATAAGTGTGGGTGTCCTTGGGCAAGATGGCCCCCAAAGGGCTCAACTACTTATACCCCTCCATTTGATCGAAGAGTAGATGCAAGACTCCACCGCATATGTGCGGCCCAGGAATGGCACCGGTGTCACCCATACTCAAACCCTGCCCTCTCTAATCACTAGAAAACAAGGGAGTAACTGTCAGCACAGCACCAACCATAGACTAGATGACACACGTTTTTCCAAGGCCATCCAACAATCCTGATAAACTCCCTGAAGAGCTATACATCTCCTTTGTGGTCAGAGGCTAGGAACTGTGCGGGGAGCCCCCCCCCCCCCCCAGCTGCCCACATATTCTAAGCCAGTGGGTACAGGGTACAAAGCAAGGCCCCACAGAGGCCACAATCATCCTTTATGAACTACCAAAAATATCATCCCCCTCACCCAACTGGAGGTGGCCAGGAACAGCCGCTTGATGGCACTTACGAGGTGCCCTACAACCTGCCCACGGAGCTACCAAGCCTACAAGAGTGACAGTCTCTCAAAAAAAAACAATATGTAAACATAGTACAAAAAACACATCACATAATACTAGAAACCTTACTAAAACAATAACCAAATATCACTAATAGTACATTCAGATTGGGAACAGCTGGGAAAACCTTCACAGAAATGATTTGTAACCAATAGCCTCATCAAGGCCAGAATGTACTGTTGCTTTGAGATTGTGTATCCATAGTCTCCCTTTGAAGCAAGAGTTTGTCAACATTGCCACCCCATTCATGTTGGGGGACATACAAAAAATTGTATTTTGAAAGTATTAAAGTTATGATACAAACCAGCGTGTCCGCTAATGGGAGTTCCTATGTTGCCATTAGAAATAAGTTCAATATAGTCTTGAATCTGTTTTCGGAAAGACCTCTTTGTTTTCCCGATATAGATATATGAATGAGGCACCATAGCTGCAGGTCATGATGTAGACTATTTGAGAACTCTGGCAGTTCACAAGGTATTTTGGGGTCCAAAGGTGTCTATTATGGAGAAAATATTTCCCTTCCCCGTATACATCCATGGACATTGCTTACAAACCCCACAAGGGAAAATCCCACAGAATTTAAATTATTTATATTTCTTTTGTCCATATGACTCTGGACTAGTTGATCATGAATAGAACATGATCTCTTGAATGTTCTAAATAGTTTTTGTTATAGTTGCTGGCAACTTAATCCAAAGTTAGAAGATGCCAATATTTCAAAAAGATCTTGCATGTCTTCTTTGCTGCCTTATATATTGGTACTCAATGCATGTGGTATTAGGTTGCAACTGGGTGTTTGTATGGAAAATGATGTAATTTGCCGCCTTAAGAACAGATTTGGTTTATAACCCCATCCCGCAATCTCGCTTGTAGGTCTCTAAGGCTGCGCTCACACCTGGGCGTTTTGATTCGTGTGCAGAATCGCTGCGATTCTGCCTGCGATTTCAAAACACTCTGGTAAAATGGCAAATTGCACAGCAATCATTTTAGATGCCATTTTTGTTTTAATGGCACCGAAAAACGTGGTGCCGTTCTGTTACGATTGTAAATCGTGCTGTAGTCGTGGCAAAACCGCATTGCTTGAAGCTCGACACCCAAAAGAAGCTCTTGAACTTTTTTGGGTGACAAACTTCAAAGGATGTGGTTTGCTGCCATTGCAGTGTGATTTATCGCAGCAGAAACGCACCATATTTTTAGGGGCCATTAAAATGGCATTTAAAATTCACATTGCGCGATTTTGTCATTTTTTATCAGTGTTTTGTGTTTGAATCAATGTGATTCTGCCCACACTTCAAAATGCTCAGGCATAAATACAGCCTTCCTTCCCTCCCCCCTATGCTTTTATGCTGTTTGTGCTTTCAGTATTTTTTTTCTCTATACCATACAGTGGGGTTTATTTACTGAAGTTGGTTCACTCAGAATCTCGTGCAATTCTGCATAGAAACCAATCAGTTTCCAGGTTTTATTGCTTAAGCTTAGTTGAACAAGCTGAGGTTAGAAGCTGATTGGCTACCACGCACAGCTGTACCAGATTCTAAGTGAGCCAGCTTTCTTAAATAAACACCAGTATTTTCAAGTAGTTTACATTCCTGATGACTAACCCCAAAACACGTTGACGTTAACTGTCTGCGTACATGGAAGAAAAATATATTTGAAATATATTTTAAAAATATTCTTCCCAAATATATTGCCATATATTTTTAAATACTAACATTTTGGTGTGTATGTGTATATGTGTGGATAGATAGATAGATAGATATAAATTAATATATATAAATGTACAGGTTTGAGTAGCTGAGATGTGACCTGTAGCAATATGTAATCATAAATGTAGTTTCATTCCTTGTTATTAAAGAGGTATGCAGAGGTATTTAGAGACAGGTGCTCACCCATTAGCATCTGAAAAGACAGAGCAGCTTCCTCAGGCTGGAAGTAACACCTATGTGCCAATAAGATTTGTCACCTTCCAGGAAACCTGGAAGGAAATGGCTTGAGACCGTTTGGCTGCAGATGACCAGTGGGGCTCAGATTTGTCTGGGGAGCTTTAAAGTATATACATAGATCAAAGGAATATGTTTAATCTCTCATAAAAGCTAAAATATTAGTTGCAGAGAGATGAAGATACTTCCTTCTGATTAGGCACTTTGTGGGCTACATTTGCATGTAAAAAACGTATTTGTGGCCTATGTAGAATGCCAGAAAAATGCAGGAAATGGTTATGTGGTGCCGGATCGCGACAGCTGAACAGTGATTGGTACTGTCGCAATCGGACTGATGAGCTGGTGTCGGAAATTCAATCCCTGACTTGGTGATTCAAACCGTTCCTGGTCCAATCGACTTTGGGCATTTCAGGACCCAGAACATTCTGTGGGCGGGTGCAGGAACACCCCCCAGAGCCAATTGGCCAAGAACTCATGTCCAGCCCATGTCCATATTCCCATAAATTGAGGACCCTGATGTATGGACATGGTGATTCGTATGGAGCCCGTCCTTATTGATTGACGGATCGCGGACTTTCTCTGACTTGCTCCAGTTGCAGGATAAATCTTGGTAAAAGTTTTTTATGACTTTTGTTCCCTTTTTATTTTATAGTGAATAGCCAATTGTGTGTCTTCTTGTATTTTTTGTATTTTCTGTAACTTTTTATACTTTGTGTATATATTTTATGCACTGCCCACTTTGGGATATTAAGTCATAAAATTAATAAGTGACTTCTGGGTACTTAAGCTCGGGCTCATATCTCCGGAGAGATTAGATTGTATTGTATTTTAGTGTCTTTATTTGCTCGGTCAAGTTCATTGCCAATCTGTATACAACTGCACTGCATGTTGGCAGATTGTAAAAGTAACAGGTCTGCCAGACGGAGATCTGTGTGTGTGTGTGGTGTCCCATCAGGCCAGTAAAACTGTTGGGTGGTGGCAAACTACCATTTGTGATGTGTGTGGTGGTGTGTGGACAGTGGAAGAGTGATTAACACCGGGGTTCTAGCTTGGAGGATAGCTGGAGGAATCCTAGAAGGGTGTGCGATTGCTAGGCTGCTCCTCAATTCTAATTAGTGCACCAAATTGTATGTAAGATTTGTGTGTCTGCCTGTGTGTTGGGAGGACAGCTGGATCGGCGTGGAGTCTCCCTCCAGTGGTGGCCAAGAGGTAGTGCCGTCTGTGGAAGTATATCACGGCCGGTCTTATATACTTTTTATATATTCAAAGTTAAGTCCCCTTATTCCCTCTTTACCCCAAGTCGCGGCCGCACGTGCGCGCCTCGTTTAGCCAGTCGCTGTGGGCGTGGCATGTGGGTAAACCGTGAGATATATAGATAGGGACATATATATATATATATATATATATATATATATATATATATATATATATATATATATATATATGAGACAGAGAGAGATATTCTCATGTTGAAATGCGTTTTTTATTCCGAAATATATGAATGTTTTTAAAAATACATTTTAAAAAAAAAAAATAATATTTTTATATTTTTGATTTTTGGTGTTAGTGGTATATGTTTTTCTGACACTGTTAAATTCCCATACCTCTATCGTTTTTGTATTTTGTAGGGGTTAATAGAACTAAGGGGCTGTCACAGGCTCTCATCGAGAGCACAACTAGACCCACCCTGGCTAGTTACACCATTCATAAAAGCTGGTATGACAGTGTCTGTGAATTGAAAACAATATATACAGTATGAATGGGGGGCAGGCACATTATTGAAAGGTCAGCCCCTCCAATCATAGATCTGATTTCATTTAGGCAAGTTGTAGTACAACTTCTATGGATCCATGAGCTTGCCCCGCCGCCCTGTAAGATTATGGCGGCTAAGGTTGGGGGGGGTGCATTGACGGAGGAGGATTTCACCTAACAGAAGAGGTATCTGCAGAAGAGACCCTTCCTACTGGGTGTAAGTATTATCCTTTGTGCTGATTTTCTAATTTTTGTGTTTATTTTTGCTGCACTTAGGCTTTAATTGATGGTGGGTTTTTATTGCAGTTCTTGGCTTTATATTTAAACAGCACTGGTTTCCCATATTCTTAATTTTTTAGGATCTAGGTCCCCACCGGAATTCAGTTTTGAAAAGCATGTTCTGCTTCCACACAAAATCGGCCACAAAAACATTTATTTATTTTCTTTGCATTGTGAAGATGTCTCTTGTGAGCTATTCAAAATCTTTTCTACAAGCTTGTACCGCAGTGCACCCAACACACGTATAAGGTTCAACTTGCAAAGTTTTAACAGAGATAAGCATCTTTATTTTGGCCGTGTGGCTGAAATTTTTAAATCTCATTGGACTCATCTGTAAATTCCCCCTTTTTTAATTTTCCTACTGTAAGGTTTATTAGGTATATATTTTTACATGTTTCACTGAATGGTATGAACTGTAATAAAACTACTTGTTACACAGGATCAACAAATAAGTGGATGGACAATTAAAAGACAGCATGGAAGCCTTCCTGAAATTGTTTATAAACTTCCAGGGCGATTCATCCTTAAAGCTGGCCAGCGTGTTACAGTAAGTACTAAATGAAGAGACTTTGTAATTCCATGTTTTATGCGAACGGCTGCATTTTCCAGTTCCAAGTAAAAAGAGAGAAGGCCAATGGTAACTTATAGAAGAGAACCTTAAAAAAAGCAGCTGTGGAAAAAATGTAGCGCAACTAAAATGTTTTTAATCCAATATACAGTAAATGTGCAAAAAAAATCTCCTTAACCATACCAGGCCGCATGCCCTCAACATGGGGGGGGGGGGGTGCTTTGGGGCAGGGGGCTCCCCACAACCTCTTCCCCACAACCCTCAGATAACGCCCCCCCCCCCCCATGTGAGTATGGGGTACATGGTACCACTACTCATTCATTAACAAAAAGTGTAGTGTGAAAAAAGACAGGAGACAGTCTTTGACTGTCCAATGTCAATCACGATGCCCGCCAACATTCAGCTGTCAGTGGGGAACCCCGCTGATAGCTGATGACTAAAAACTGATGTAAGCTCACCCGTTTTTTTTCTTTGAAAAAAAACATGGCTGAACTGATGGAAAAAACAGAATGCCCGTGTGAGTGGACCCTTAGAGGTTTTGTTCTTGTTTGTTTTTTTTTTTTTGTTTTTTGTTTTTTTCTTCTCAACCATTGAGGGACACAAGAAGCCTTCAACTTTCAGATTATACTATTTCCAGTATAGGACATTGGCAATAAGAAAACAAAAAACTGTAGGCTAGTCCAGGATATAACCTTTTCTACTACAGACATGTCTCTGTTGTTTGCTAGAGTCCTAGGAGAATTAATGTATTTTATTTTTCTCTGTTTTAACCACTTCAGCTCTGGAAGGTTTTACCCTCTTCATGACCAGGCCATTTTATGCTATTTTGCAATGGACTACTTTAACTGACAATTGCGTATTTAAGCAACACTATTTGCAAATTACATTTGTCATTTTTTACATACAAATGGTGCTTTCATTTGGTGGTATTTGATCAGCTTTGATTATTAGTTTTCTCTGGCTACAGCTAATCACATGGTACACGGTGCTGTGGTTGGCCCAGGTACCATGTGATAGCTGTGGGCTGGTCGCAGCTCACTGGTAAAGGAAGCAGAGCTGGTATGAGTCAGATTAATTCATAACTGCTTTGCTGACATTGTGATCGTATACCGGTGAACACAGCAGTTGTCGGGAGTGGTACATGTACGTGACCCAGCCTGCATGTGCCACCTGCCCGAAATAAATGTACTGTGGGCGGTCAGCAACTGGTTACAGATCAACCTAGGTTTGTGTGTGTTTTTGTGTGTTTGTTTTTTTGTTTTGTTTTTTTTTTTTTTTAGCTGCTACTGTACTTCTCTTCGCTCACAGCTATCAAGCACATTCATCCTTGGCCTGCCATTTGGACCGTAGTGTACTAGACCCCCACTATGCTGGATGAGTAAGTGGTCCATTCCCACTGTACATCCAGCCGTTTCACCTTAACGAGTTGGCTGCCATAACCTTGGAGAGTGCCCCTGCATTAAGGGACCCAGCTGTTGGAGGTAGTTTTCAGAAATGTTCTTGTTGGTGGATCCTGTCCTACACCTGATGTTGCTGTGATTTTGCTTTGCCAAACCATGCCTGATTGGTCATATTTCTAAAAAGGGATCTAACTGCTGATGCCATTGACTTTCAGATTATTGAGCACGTGGAACATACTGTATGTTTTGTGTCGTTTTAAAGGCTAGTTGTGATGGCTTCACATTAGTCTCTTTAGAGCACATGTATAGGGCCTTCTAGTTAAAGTGGTGGACTGCAGAACTTTCTTGAAAGAAACTTTCCACGAGTTGGCCTTTGAGCGACATCTCTTTGGGCTGGCTCTAATTGCAGTCATCTGAGATGCTACTGAGAACAAAAGTTTTCCTCTTCCCCAGCAGAAAAACCTAAGGAGCAGATGAAGTCCTTTCCCTTTTGTTCCTGCCCAGAATTTTCTTCTGTAACTTCCAAGAAGTGTTCTTTTTTTTGTTTCAACTTCCACATTGTGACCCCCTTCCTTCCCAAGGGTGGTATTCCAGGCACAAGGTTTGGCACTCCAGGGCTGCCCAATTCATTGGCAAGCCTGCTTCTGTGAGTTGTTGCTTCAGGGGCCTTTGGTTGATGGAGGAATCTTGTTTCCCAATCAACATCTTGGAACGTCATGTAATCTGGATGTCCCTTTGAATTAACCCAGCATTGAATTAACCTTTTTGGGGGCAATCTGATTTGGATTCAGTTGAACCATCAAATAGGTAACATGACATCTTGCAAAGGCAAGAGGTAGTGCAGATGCTGTTCTGGGTGGAACGTTCTGTGCTTGCCTTATCAGCCAATTACAGTCTGGGTATAGACAATAGGCAAGCACATTTTATTATCTGAAAATGTCTGAACCTGGGAGAATAGTTCCTGCACCCAGAGCAGATATAGGACCTATGTCACATGTAGGGTACACAGGATGTGTACTTCCAGTTTCATCAACGAACTGGATAGGTTTGTATCTAGGTTCATGTATCTACTAAACGGTTAATACTCTGGTGGCTCCGTGGGATCAGTAAACCCTGATCTGTGCATTTCTTCCTCTGAAACTTGTCTGATCTGCAGAATGAAGATGGAGTGCATTCTGGTGCCCCTCATTGTTCCACATTGGCCCAGACAGATACAGTATTCCAACCTGGTAAATCTTTTTGCAATTGCAGCTTCATCAGACTGTATCTGTTGTCACAGGGACAGATTTACTACCCTGTTTCTTGCTCACTGGCTTTAACAGTATTTCTGAAGCTCAGGTTCTAAAGGACATATGGACTTCTGAGTCTGTGATTCATACACTCCTCGAGACTATGAAGTCCACTTTCTGCAAGGCCTACCATCAGACATGAAAGGTGTACTTTGCTTAAAGTGACATTAAGGGCTTTCACTGTGGAATAGATACTTTTTTCCTGCAGTTGGACCATTGTTTGGCTCTTAATAAAAGGGCCAGATAAAATGCCCTTTCTGTTCTGTTTCAAGGACCATTTGGCTTTCCACATTCTTATTAGGACCTTTGTGCAGGGGATCTCCCTGTGTGGTTCCTCCAGTCTCTAGACTTTGTTTCTGTGGGATTTGAATCTGGTTCTTTGCATACTGCAGAAGCCGCTTTTTATGCCTCTCCCTTTTCTGACCCACAAGGTTGTATTTCTTGTGGCCATCACCTTGGCTTAGCTAATTTCCGAGCTGGTGTTCTTATCTGCAAGCAATTTTTCTTTTTGGTTTTGGACAAGGTGGTATGACCTGTGACTTTCATTCAAGTTAGTTTCTGCTTTCCACCTTAATCTTGATATGATTCTTCCATCCCATTCTCTGGCTGTAGTTCATCAGAGGGAAATTTTCCCTCCATTCTTTGGATGTGGTTCAGGCTGTGCAAGCCTTTCAGCCACTGCTTCTTTCAGGAAGACTGATTCCCTTTTATATAATTTTGGGCAGGAAGGGGGCATCGGCTTCTCAATCCACTATCTCTAAGTGGCTTAGACAGGCTGCCGCTCAAGCTTATGGGTTTAAAATCAGGCATACAAAGCAATAAATTACCCATATTTTGTAAAATATAAAAGATGAGGTTGCGCCGAGTACATAGATACCCAACATGTCCAGCCTTCACCTTATGTGTGCCCGTGAAATGACGACTAACTTCAGTACCATATATTTTCCATAGGCGACACTATAAAGGCCCCCTATTGGTCTTCAGTTTAACATTACAGACGAGGTCAGGTGTTGGACATATTTCTCTCATTCCGGCATGCAGTGATATGTAATATGTGTAGTCAATGTTTTCAAGCATAGGCACCCCCGTCATTATGATTTTTTTGGTTACAGGTTCTCTTTAATGAGACCTACAGGGTCTAAAAGATGCATTACATTCTTTCCCAGCCATACTGGCTGGGGAAACTTACAGAACGCCCGTAAATAACACTATATACATTGCTTCTAGGTAAGCAACAAGAAGGGTAGGAGATTGGATGTGAATATATGGTGGCGGTATACTTTACCGGGGGTTTTTTGGAAGCAATCAGACGGCAGCGCAGCCACCAGAATGCGTCCATCTCACAGGCGTCAGTCTGCTTGCCAGATATACCCACTCTCCTGGTGGCTGCAGCTGCCCCAGGAGTGTGTGTGTAAACAGCCCCCCACTGTCAGGTCCATAGAACTTGGCAACAAAAGGTTAAACCAGCATTAAAGTGGAGCTCCACCCAAAAGGGGAAGTTCCGCTTTAAGCCTTTGTCCCCTGATCCCCATTAAGGATTTTTCACCTTTTGGGAGTGGGGGGGGAGCAGGTACCTGCTCCCACTTCCGCTGCAGTTGTCTAAGGCGATCAGAAGCGGAAGTTGTCCTCCCCTCCCTGTAGTCTCCTGGGACACGTGACAGGTCCCAGAAGACTACGAGGCCATTCACAAAGTGCAGCACTTCTCGCGGATGCGCAGTGTGGCACCCGGTATGAAGCCGCAAGCTGTCACAGCCGGGTGCCCACACTGAAAATGCCGGCGCCAGGGAGAGAAGACAGCCGGTGAAACCAGCCGTGGTGAGGACACCGCTGGACCAAGGGACAGGTAAGTGGCTGTATTTTAAAAGTCAGCAGCTACAGTTTTTGTAGCTGCTGACTTTTATTTTTTTTTTCAGCTGGAACTCCGCTTTAAGTATCATTTTAATGCCTGTTTAATGCACAGACAAGCTCCTATTGTCTGTTTTTAACACTGCTTTTTAAAGGCATTGCTTACATTTGTGTCATGTAATTATAACAGATTTGGGCTGCTGGAGCTGGAGCGTTACACAGTCCTCCCACTGACCTTGTCTGGAAATCCCAAAAGTCCTGGGGAACAGGGGATGATGTCAAATTAACTCTATTAGATTCTACCGGAGAGGTGAGTTGTTTTTTTTTTTTTTTTGTTCTTCTGAACCCTTCATTTACATTTAATACTGAATATGGCATCTTTGAAGCTTGCAGTCAATGATATTTTCACTTTTAATTTGCAAAATCACAATTCTTTCACAGAATTATTGGATTTCCCATGCACTGCATTTCTTAAATGGCTTTTTATCACATCTCCCATCATAGTGGGTGTAATGTAAGGGACCCAGCATTGCTAATGGACATTTTTTCCTTCTTTATAAATTTTCATTTTTCTTGTATGCAGGTCTGTAGTTGCTGAAAGTACGCTTGTACAAAAGTGCATTACTATTAAAGATGAAAGACTCTTTTAACTTTAATTGCAATAACCACCATAAAAGCTGCTAGTAGCAACTCGTACATTTTTATGTTTTTTTTTTGTTCTGTTGATTTTTTTCATTAGTATTCATGGAGGAGTCAAAATGGATGGTAATGGAATACATTATTTGAAAATGTATGTCTGTGCAAATAAAAGAAAATTATTATATATGTGTGTATATATGAGTGTGTGTATACATGTGTGTGTGTGTGTGTGTGTATATATATATATGTGTGTGTGTGTGTGTGTGTATGTGTATATATATATATGTGTGTGTGTGTGTGTGTGTGTGTGTATATGTGTATGTATGTATATATATATATATATGTATGCGCAGTGTTTAGTCCTGCTCTGTTCTCTTCTGCTTGGCTACAGAAAAAACATCTCCCTCTTACCTCCATAACTAATAGGAGAGTTGTTCTGTAGTTCAGAGTTAGGGCTGGGCAGGGCTAACACTGCTTGACATCGCAGTATGGCAGAATGGAAGTGAAGTTAGATGCTGCTTGGATTATCAACAGACTTGCCGCATGTATTGCAGGCATATACTAAATGTTTTTAAATCATGATTCAACTTCTTGTTACCATTAAACATTTTTTTGTTTGTTTTTTGACGAAGAGTTGGAATTTGTGGAATTTTTTTTTTTTTGTGAGCTCATTTTGGCGATTTCCTGTCAGTGTGTTTATCTGTCCTAGACAAGAAATCAGGGTTGCATCCTCTGGCTGAAATCCTCTCCTACTGTCACCAGTGATTGCCACATGGGAGGCAGCCCTATACAAGTATCAGAGGGCTGTCTGCTCTAACTAAGCAGCGGCAGGCACAAGTTTCTAGCATATAATAAGTCCGATGCCCTTAAAGTGTCACCAAACCCAGGACCCTGCATTCACTATATCTGGTCTCCCACAGTATACAGAACATGGAAATGGAAATATTTTAGTAAATATAAACTGCTAAATACCTTTTCTCATCAGCAGTATATAGCACTCTTGTAACATCCATCAGTGTCCAGCTGAGCACTGGTTTAAAGCTGGTAGAAGGAGTTTTCCTTCTCCACTGATTGTCTTATGCAGCTGCAAAACCCCTGACCCTCTGTCTGGACAGCACTGATTGGCCCTGTGCTGATCACATGCACTTTCTCAAGAAAAAAAAAAACAAAACACTCTAGCAATACACTCCAAACTGAGCATGTGCAGCTTGCCCCAAGGCTCTGTTCTGTCAGCAGATGGATTGGGGACAGTAGAAGAAGGGGAAGATCAAAGAACACAGGTTCAACCATCCTTTTTACACAATGTGGAAGATTAACCCTTTAGGTTCCAGAGTGAGTTTAACAAGCATTCTTTACTGCATATACAGACTGAAATTACTTTTGTGGGTTTAGTAACACTTTAGGGCTAGTTTTCATACTGTGAATGGTCCATGGATCACACAGGAATGTGCACTGCATATCCATGCAGTTCACATTCAATTCATTGTGGTGCGATTAGAGTCCATTCATTTTGAATGGGCTCAAATTGCACCATATTTCACCAAAGTAGTGCATGCACTACTTTTGGAAATGCACTGCAACTGGATCTCGTTTTACTTTTGTACCATGCATCTGGTGCAGGCAAACACAGTGCATTTCAGACCTGCATTTGGTGTGTTGTTAACATTGCACTTCTCACAAGGGCAGTGAGATTTGAATGTAGTGTGGGAAATGTGCACAGATCACGGGTTTCCAGCACCGTATTCTACTGTGAACCGGGACTTCAGTCATCTTATGCTGCGAGTGGTGTTGACATATATTGAAAATAGAATTGGAAGACACTTTGTTTTTATACATTAGGGCATAAACTTTATCGATTGCTTTAAAGTGTATGGTCACATTTTCACAAAAAATGAATAGGAAAGCAAACACCGTATACTCCCCTTGCCCACCTGTCTCTGCTTCAATGTCTGTGGATGACTAGCTTTCACTGCCCACACAGCCAATGCGGGGATCTGGATATTTGAAAGCTGCCTCTTTTGGGACTGATCAGAGCAATTCTGATTGCAGCCACTTTGACCAGTCAGAATTGCTCTGATCCACCCTGGTGGCCCGAGGGATAGAAGGGGAAGAAAACCATGGATTTCAAATTCCCAGACCCTTGCGTGAGCAGGGAAAGCTAATCATACTCAGAGGTGAGTACAGCAAGGACTGTGGGGAGGGTGTACAGTGTTGCTTAGCCTTTTCATTTTTGTGAAGGTGAAATTACTTTTAATTCTGTGGTTTTGTTTAGTGTACTGTACTTGTTGACCGTAACCTGCATTGCATGCAGATGTCCATAAGTGCAGTGACCAGAGTATAGGATTGTGTCTGTTGCTTCCATTCAGCACTCTCCCATCTCAAATACACTTTTTTTTTATATTTTTTTTTCCTCCAGGAGTGTGCTGAATTTACCCTCGTTAGGGTACAGAGGGAAGAAGGAGAGACTGATGATGAGTTTTTGGAAGAGGAGTTATCAGAGTTTCATGTTAGGGTATGTAAACGGCTTGATTTAATTTGATCATGTATTTCTAGAAGAGATTTGATTACACTGTCTTATACACATTGCTGTTTCTGTTTGGTGATTCAGCCAAAACGAAAGAAAAAGAAATGTTGCTTAATGTCATGATGGCAGTGTGTGCAGGTGAGGTCTCTTGCATGGATCGTTGTTTGCATGCTGCATCCTATATATAAATAAATATTACATGTGCTCCTGTTGACTGCCATTCTGTTTTCCTCATATACTGACAGCCATCTCATAGCTTGTAATCCTCATTTTATGGAATTAACTGAATATAATATATATCTAATTGATTCTGTAATTCTTAGCAATGTTCGGCTGTTTTGTCTCCCTGCTTTGCGCATGTGTTTTTTATTTACCTTTGCTCAAGTTCATTAAATTTTTTTGCATCCTTTACAATGTATGTGTTTATAATCTATATGAAGGCAGAATACACTGAGAAGGTGGTTCATCCGCCTTTTTTTTTTCTCGGCTGAACGTTTATCACTCCCAGTGGTGCCATAATTTAATGTGTGGCTGTATATTTCTATAATTGCAGTTCAGCAGCTGACCAGCCTCCATGACTTATTTTGGCCTGTTCCAGAACTGTGACACACTGATAGTTCTGTATGACTGTACAAGGCTGTAGCAGGAGATGTCCTGTAGGTGGATGTAGTCCACTACCTCTGGAATGGTAAAGGGTTGTACTCAGATATTTCTGCCCTAGGCATGTGTCATTGGCTTTTTTTTTTTTTGACTATCCACATACTTCACCCACCTAATGGACAATGCTGTTGGGGGTGCAGTGTTTATCCCCTTTATGACCGTGTAACACGCTATATCCAGGAAGTGGGAATTAATTCTGGGCACCACATATGTGGTAGTCTGTACTAGAACCACACTCCCAGCAGTTGGCACTGACACGTGGCTTACAGTTTCGCCTAGATGGGACCTGGCAACAGCTAAGCTATCACAGTGATCATTCTTCCTGTACCCATTCACTGTGTTGTCTTTTGTGAAAAGGAGAAACAGACTTCTCTGCTAGCGAAGAAGAAATATCAGTTAGTGGAAGTGGCAATGCAAGTGTTTGTTAGTGGCAGTTATATGGTCAGTGTGTTTTCAGGTTAAAAAAAAAAAAGGTTTTATATCTAGTGTCAGTGCGAGTTTTAGTGTCAGTGTGTTTTTAGGTAGGACAAAAAAAAATGAATTCATACTGTTGTTTCTTGGCCCTACTAGGGGTACAAAGAACAAATCATGCACACATATGTGGTATTGCTGCGATTTTTCAGGAGTAAGCTTTTCGTCCGCCTACACTGTTCAACAGGTAAAAAGTTTTGGGCATAAAATTAGCTAATCTTACATAATTTTGGGGTGCTGAAAATGAAAATGACCCTAAAAAATGTTGATTGGCTCTAGTTTCCATGATATATTCACCCATCTAATGACGTAAGCCATTCAAAATTATGATGCAACTTCAGCTGCATATTGCGCAATTGATACTGGTGACCAATAGAAAATTGCATGTATACTGAGATGATGCAATATTAGCCTTTAATTGCATCACTTCACTGCAAAAAAGCTGCAGTATCTGTAGCTGATTGTAGTTCGACAGCGTCTTTACATTTCGTTTTATGCTTATATAGGCTACTCAGTAATGCCTCGAACTTGTGTGAATAAAGCAGATAATTTCTGCTATATCTGCGGTGAAATAACTTTTATCTCACAAAAAAGGAGGATAACAGGAATGATTAAGAAAGCCTACAACTTGTATTTTGGCTGCAAGATAGGAGACCAGGACAAGAGCTGGGCAACACATATATGCTGCAATTCTTGTAGGACGGCACTGGAGCAATGGTTGAATGGAAAAAAGGCATCTATGCCTTTCGCTGTGCCAATGATTTGGAGAGAGCCAACAGATCATGTTAGTAATTGTTACTTTTGTATGGTGCCTCCAACAAAAGGGCTAAATAAGAAGAAAAAGTTATCTGTGCACTATCCAAATATTCCATCGGCAATACGTCCAGTTCCTCATGGAGAGGGGCTACCAATTCCTAAAGCACCAGAATCCTTCGTGGTTGAGTCAAGTGAGGAAGAACCTGAAGCGTGTAGTCATCAACCGTCAACCTCACATGACCCAGACTTTCTTCCATCCACACCCACTGAACCACACCTCATTACACAAGTGGAATTGAGCGATCTTATCAGAGACCTGGATCTTCCGAAGAACAAGGCAGAGCTTTTGGGGTCAAGACTACAACAGTGGAATCTCCTAGCAAGTGATGTTCGTACGTCTTTTTACCGTCATCGTCAGAAAGATCTGATCCCATTCTTCGTCCAGGAAGGTGATATTGCTGTATGTAACAATGTTCATGGTTTAATCTCAGCCATCGGCGTATGCTATGATCCCGATGAGTGGAGGCTGTTCATTGATGCTTCAAAGGCGAGTCTTAAAGCTGTTTTGCTCCATAATGGCAATCAGCTGCCGTCAGTTCCAGTTGCTTACGCAGTTTCAATGAAAGAAACGTATGAAAACTTGAAAGAGCTTTTAAGGTGCATCAACTATGATGAACATCAATGGTCGATTTGTGGTGACCTGAAGGTGATTGCTATCCTACTTGGACTTCAAGGTGGATATACTAAGTACTGCTGCTTCCTCTGTGAGTGGGACAGTCGTGCGAGAGAAATGCACTATGCCAAAAGAGACTGGCCATTACGCCAGTCATTGCAGCCTGGAGAAAAAAATGTTAACTATCCAGCACTTGTAGACAGCAATAAGATCTTATTACCTCCATTACACATCAAGTTGGGATTAATGAAAAACTTTGTTAAGGCAATGGACAAGAATAAAGCAGGTTTCAAGTACCTGATTAGCAAATTTCCAGCACTTAGTGCTGCAAAAATAAATGAAGGAGTCTTTGTTGGGCCACAGATTCGTAAACTTATTCATGATGATGAGTTTCTTTCTCTGTTGCGTGGAAAGGAAAAGGCTGCCTGGACAGCATTTGTATCAGTGACATCAAATTTTCTTGGAAACAATAAAACACCAGACTACAAGAAAGTGGTAGAAAAACTCATCCAGACGTACAGAAATCTGGGTTGCAACATGTCTCTAAAAATTCATTTTCTACATTCGCATCTGGATTTTTTCCCACCAAACTGTGGAGCAGTGAGTGATGAACATGGAGAGCGCTTCCATCAAGACATTGCAGCTATGGAAAGAAGATATCAAGGTAAATGGAGCCCATCAATGCTTGCTAACTATTGCTGGATAGTTGTAAGAGATAGCCCTTTCCTCGAATACAAGAGAAAAGCCAAGAGAAGCAAAACCGACACAAACTGAAGACAAAACTAGTGAGAATCCTAAGTATTAAAATGATTCAACTTGGCTTATGGCTATAATTTTTCTTGGTAATCCTATGCAATATATTATGCCATTTAGGCTTTATGTAGTCAATATCACTTGCTTTATATTTGTGGAAAGACATCTATCTATATAATTATTGTGCATTATGTAGTCATTACGCCTATAGTAGAAAACTTTCCGTTTACAGAAAAACTAGAGCCAATTGACAAATTTCATTGTTATATTTGAACTCAGAATGTGAAATTCATTAAGAAATGGATCCTTTTGTTTCCAAAACTGGCAAAAAATAAAAATTTGTTGAACAGTGCTATAAATGGCAGACTGTAGGCAGCACTGATGTGGGTTAATGTACCTGTACATCAGTCCCCATCAGCAACTCCTGCGTGGCTCACCCGGACTCAGCAGATCACATTATCAGAGAAAACCATTGCTATAGCCTGTTACTGTAGGCCGCATGTACACTCAGAACCGCACTCATCACCTGTCCCAGTGTCACCAGTTCTCACGCCATATCCCAAACTAGTGACCTGATCACAGCCATATCCCATACCAGCATCTTGATCACCGCCATTCTCTATACCAGTGCCCTGATCACAATATGCCATACTGGCACCATGATCACCATCATTCACCATATCAGAGCCCTGGTCCCAGCAACACACCATATCAACATCCTGATCACAAGCATAACCTGTATCAGCGATCTGATCACCACCATACCCCATACCGGTGTCCTGATCACTGCCATACCCCATACCAGCATCCTGATTAGTATCAACAAAGCCAGTGTCCCCAATTTTTTGCGTCCAAAAATGTGATGGTCAGGAAATTACATGCGTAATTTATGCCCCTAGAACGCCTTAACTGCTTCCTGTCCTGCGACGTACCAGTACTGGAAATTCCAAAGCTGGTAAAAGTATAAAAGTAATCCAAGCAGCTAAAGAGCCGCTTGATTACTTTTACAGGCAGCAGAAGAGGCCCCTTTTTTTTTTTTTTTTTTTTTTCGCCGCCACCTTTACTGGGCTTTCCTGAAGGACCGGGAGCCTGGTAACGAAACGTCTAGCAGTATCTGGCTCCAAGCACACAGCGAGAGTAACTGATGTTCCTTCCACTGCGTGATTTCTGGAACTGGAAGCGATGAGGAGCTCGTCACTTCTGGTTTCAGTTCTTTATTTACTTGGCCATTACCAGCTAGGGAAGCAGCCGATCAGACCGATCTGTGTCTGATCCGCTGCACTGGAGGCCACAGGCCATAAAGAGCACCTGTCACAGCCTATGCTGTCACGAGATGTTGTTCATCCCTTGTGATAGGGATAACGTTGATATAAAAAGAAAAAATCCACACAAACTATACACTGTTTTTTTGTTTTTGTTTTTTTTAATTTTATTTGTAAATAAATGAGAAACCATTTTTAAAACACCCCTGTCCCCCAGTGCTCGTGCACAGATGCAAATACATGCAGTTGTACCACACATATATGTAAACCGCAATCACATATGTAAGGTATCGCTGTGAATGTCGGAGTGAGAGCAATAATTCTAGCTCCAGGCCTCCTGTGTAACCCTAAACTGGTAACCTGTAAAGGCTTTTTAAAGTGTCGCCTATGGGAGTTTTTAGGTATCGTAGTTTGGTGCCATTCCACAGGCGGACACAATTTTAAAGTGTGCTATCTATATACTCATCATAAACTCATCTTTTATATGTAAAAAAAAAAAAATTAGGCATGCTATTGTATTAAAGCAGAGCTCCACCCAAAAGAGGAAG